ATAGGGGGATTGACTGAAACATTATAACGACACCGGCTGAAAGGGCGAGCATGTTTGGTGGGACGGGGATTTGAACCCAAACCCTCAGATTGCGAGTCGAGCGCCTTATCCACCTGGCCATGCCTGGCAAGTAAAAGGAAGAACGTAGTTTTGGTTAAATATGCTATTAATGGAAAGTTCTTACTGGAACTCTATCTTGGAACCTGTGTATAACACAAGGGGTAAAATCAAGTATTGTTTTAAGAGTAAAATGTATCATTTTATACAGCAGCAAATAAGGTAATTATTTCTAGTATTACTCATGTATCTTAAATAGAAATTTTCAGTTTTTTTGGTCAGTTCTTTACATCAAATGTTGTAACAGGCAATCAATTTAAGCAACTACTAAAAGAAAGGTTTAGGATGATGCTCTTTTCAAAAATTAAAATTATTTTATTGACTGTTTATCTTGCTTTCTATCACCCATACCTAACACTTTCAACCTATCGATTTGGTAAAACTAATCTTCAGTAAAAATATATCTTTAAGCATATCAGATGTTATTTGAAAGCATGAATATCTGTTTAAATTTGAAAACAAAACTTTCCTTCATCATTTAAACTCCTGCTTTGATGAATTCAACCTCATTTTAAAGAATATTACCATCAGGCAAGAAACACACAGAGATAAGACATGTCATCTTAGTCCTAACACTTTAACATTGTTTAGTACAGGATTGATTGTACATTTAGAATGCTGAAAATGTACAGAAATAATGAAAATAGAACTAAGGTAATATATATACTGAAAAGTCTTTTGAATGTGTTGGTCAAGTTTCAAGTCATTTGATTCAACAGTTTATTATCATTATTCCAAGTTCAGCATCAACCGTCATCACCATCATGTGGCCATGTGTTACAAAGATGGGGCTAAAACTCTAATGGCCCAGTAGAAATTCCACTGGGATGGTAAATTTCTGACTCTACTGGCTACATAAAACAGATGTTAAATTCAAACACTGAAAATGTATACAAAAATCCATACAGGAAACATGTACTAGTGAAATGCTGATGTGCATTATACTCTTAAATTTGACAAATTCTGTTAAGTTCCCTAACTACTTTGGTATGGGTACACTGAGATGGCAACTAAATAATGATATCCTCCGCCTACTACTCAACCAAAAATATATATATATATATATATATTGCTACTCAGATTAGTAAGTGGAAACCTAATACAAAGAAAAACATGAGATAAGCATTTCATTATTTAGAAATGGATGAGAAAAAAATGTGTGTGTGTGTGTTTGCATGTATGCTCTGTGAATGACCGTTCAATCTCTACCAATGCAAGAACTTTACTGAATAATTGTTCAAAGCCCAACCTGAATGTAAAAGTAATATGATGGGGCCAAAGGGCATATTAAAAGCCATATAAATAACATAGAATGATACTTTTTACTATGATGTTTGAAAATTGAAGATTTAAACTTATACTTAGCAGGCCAAAAAAAATTCCTACTTTGTAAATCATCTTAAAAGTGTAAAGATTACTTAGTTCCTAGCTGTATGGGAGTTTGAAAAAACTCAGAAAAAATGACAAGTATAAACAAACAAGCAAATAAAAAGTTCTTGAAATAATGTTAAAAGATTGTATTGTTAATTTTTAAAAATTTACTCTTAAAATTTATTACTTATTCTTAATTCGTGTTACATCATTAGAAAGATTTCACAATGTATAATACAAAAAGTTTTTAGGTTTATTCAATGATGTGAAATGTATTCAATTTCACCCCACCCTAAAGTAATGTATTTTGCAGCAGGCCATTCTCAATACTAGCTATAAATGGGTGGTTGAATTACAGTAACTTTTTAACTTGTAATATATCATCATCAGAAAGGGTACTCAAAAGGAACTATTCAATTACAATTAGTTTTTTATCATCAAATATCAAAAACAACAACTACAGCTGACAACCCATTCTCATAAAACCTACAATCTATATATCAGTTAGATGTTGTATGTTCATAATACAACCTACATTAGAATTCTTGGAATTATTACTTACCAGATCTCGCTCCTCTCGGTTGTTATCTAGTGGCGGTAACCCGGTAAGAAGTTCGAGAAGTACTATACCAAAGCTGAAAGTGTCAAGTTTTACAGATACATCACCTCTCATGGCTTCAGGTGCCATATAGCAGTTGGTTCCCATCACAGTGTTTGTCACGACAACCGTTGTTCTTTCACCACTGCTACCAATCCTGACAAGACCGAAGTCTCCAACCCTGGGATTCATTTGCTCATCCAAAAGAACATTGGCACTAAAAAAAAATAGTTGTCATCTAAAAAACAACAGTCTTTGTGCAACAAAATTACTGTTAATACTGAGAAAACAAAGTAGCTGATTTGTATTTAAGCTTAGTATTTTAACAGTGTATACCAATGTTAAAACTGTTATTCATAATCAACCAGTGTTTAAAGTGCTTAAGAAAAAATGAATACTGTAAATTACTATACAAATTTTCACCTTTTCTATCAAATCAAACTTATGTTGAAATAGCTCAAAGTTGTGAATTCTATTAACCTGCTTGGGGCTGTATCTACCAAATCCAAAAAGCCCCTTTTACATTTTTTAAGAGGGGTTCCTGATTCTCAGAATAAGGTAATAGAACATTAAAACTGCACTTATAACCAAAATGATTTTGCATAAAACTGTAAAAGCTTTTAAGAATAAGACATAGATAATTCCATAATACCTTTTAATATCCCTGTGAACCAATGGCTCCTTCCTGGCTGTATGTAGGTAACTAATACCACGAGCAGTCCCTAAGGCTATATTCAGACGACGCTTCCATGGAATGCCTTGACTATTGTCCTGAAAATATTCATACAGAAAGTACAAATAACTACTTTAATGAGGTTCAGTTGGTCACACTGGTAAATTCTTTGTTTCAAAACTCTGATTACTTCAAGTGCTAAATAAATTAAATCAATCAGCATAAAATAAACGTGCTCTGCAGGGTGATTCAAAAGTCCACTCACGAATCACAGAGGCATTCGATATACCTATCAATATCTTCCATTTACCTCAATTACTTCTATATCTACCACTAGAAGGGCCTGTACCTGAAAATATTAACCCAATTAAGACACCTGCCTGTGGTACCTGAGAACATGTGACACGGTTGGTCCTGCTAACTTGAGAGTGTGGATATAAACACATTAATGTAGAGGTTGAGTGCAATATTGCAAGCTTCATTGGTGGGGACTTCGATGAAGAGTGACACAACATCAAAACTAGCCATTAAGGCTTTCGAATTTAGTTGTTCTAGTGTATATATTTGAAATTGAAGGCATCTTTAAAAAATGAACCTGCAGATGTTACATATAGTGTGAAAGCCCAGGCTATGTATTTGCCAAGATTGTAGTTGAATGAATCATAAGTGGATAGTATAGGTCATAGGGGGCAGTCCTGTTTGTATGGTTTAGGAATGCCATAGAGTTGTGGTGTGCGTGAATCAGTTTTACGTAGATAAAAG